ACGACGCTCGGTCCTCAGGCGCTGCTGGCCGGCTGGGAAATCCCATGCCTGCTTCGTGCGCAGGGAACCGAGGCACGGCTTCGGGTGAGGCCGTTTGCCTGAGCTGCAGAGAGCGAATACCCGCCGAAAGCTTGGCGTTCCTGCAAAATCACTGCAACCCACTAACCCCAGCATGATTCCGCAGCAGTGCCCGGGGGGATCGGCACTGGGGAGGAGACTTTGCCGTTTTCCCCACCTCCACCCCTCCCAAGGGAAATTCAACCTAAATGCTGGCGTGTTTCCGTCAAAACCCTTGCCTGCGTGCATTAAAAAAATAAAAGAAAAAAAATCTGGGTGGGAGAGTTGGAAAAGAGGAGGAGATGAAAAAGCTCCTCTGTGAAATGGCTGTGCCTTTCAGAGGTTCGTTTCAGGTTGAGTTTGCTCTGTCCCGGAGGGTCTTTCATTTCAGGTTGAGAAGTTTTATGGGGTCATTTCTTAGGAATCTGCTTTGCACATGCATGGCTGCAGAGAAGGTGGCTTGGGGCTGGGGCTGGGGCAGCCCGGACTTTGTCTGCCAGCCTGGCAGAATCCGCTCAGGAAGAGGGAAATCGTGATTTTTAAAGAAGCAAAGTCTTGTTCCTGCTTCCCAGCGCTTCACGCGAGGAAAGTGCATCTGCTGTGCATGAACCATATGGAAGTTCCTTATTTCTTATATTTTGTTTTGATAGATAAGTGGGACAGTTTTATAAAAGAAACTGAAGATATCAACACCCTTAGGGAGTGCGTGCAAATTCTGTTTAACAGCAGATATGGTGAGTAGGAGTTAATATCCCATTATGCATCTGCAGCGCTTGTGGTTTGCATATCATTATGTAGCAATCATTTTTGTTCCCTAACACAGCAGCAGAAGCCATATGCTAGAGCTCCCTTCTCTTCCTCACACATTTAGCCCAGCAGCTCCCAGTCTCTGGGTGTCTGCTGAAGGTTATGTCAATATTTCCATTTGGAGTTCCCCCCTCCACCGTCGAGGAATTCGTAACTGGGCTGTAAACCAGCGCCGGTTTGACGCGTGGCACGCCGGGTCGGAGCGCCCGGGCACAGCCGGCGCTGGCGAGCGAGAGGGAGCAGTGACGTGCAGCCGTTTGACATTAACGTGGCAGGGGAGAAAAGAACGTTGTCCTGATTGCAGCTGCTTTTTCCACCTGCACGGTTTATGGACGTCGTTGGCGCGTCCCTTGCCACGGGCAGTGCTTTTGGGTTCATTCCTGGGCGTTTGGGCAGCTGTGAGCTCGGGAAATTGCTTGGGAATGGGCTGACAGGCTGGAGGTCGTCGCTTGTACCATCCTCATCAGGCTGTGTAATTCACCAGTTATAGATGGGCTATAAATACGTGCTGTGTAACTCCGGAGTTATATATGGGCTATAGATGAGCTCTGTAATTTATAATCTATATATGTGCTATGCAGCTCGGAGTTATACAGCTCGGCGTCCTGCTGCGGTCACGGGGAGGTTGGGGACAGCGCATGGGCCAGCTCGCCCCTGGCTTGAGCAACGCTGGGCGTGTTTGGGGGTTTTGGAGGACACTGTTAGCTGTGCTTGCTGCTGCGTTGTCTCCCTGTTGTCCCATGCCCCATGGGCGAGCTGCTCCCAGGGCTCACCTTCTGGGACAAGCAAAGGAAAAGAGGGCAAGAGGCACTCGCTGTGCTTGAGTTCAAGCCTTTACACCTTTATTTTATCATCATGTGTAAAAGGAAAAGCGAGTGTTTAAGTGAAAACCATGCGCTCACCTTTCAGCTGAAGCCTTGGGCTTAGACCACATGGTCCCCGTCCCCTACCGGAAGATTGCCTGCGACCCCGAGGCGGTGGAAATCATCGGCATCCCGGACAAAATACCCTTCAAAAGACCTTGCACCTACGGCGTCCCCAAACTCAAGCGGATACTGGAGGAGAGGCACCACATCCATTTTGTCATCAAAAGGTGGGTGGTGGGGAAGGCAGGGGGACTGCATGGCCTCGGGGGGGCTTGGGGATTTAAGCTGTTTCCTCCATGCTCAGAGGGTTCGTTTGACACCCAAAATTCATTTTGCCCTTTTTTATGGAAAAGAGCTAAACAGCTCTTTTTTTCCCCCCCCAAACCTCCGTTCTCCATCCTCTCTCCCTTTGTGCGAGGATGTGGCAGGGCTGGCCACCGAGCCCCGTCACCCTCTTGTGAGTCCGTGCAGGCGTTGCTGGTGCCACCCCAAGCACTTCGGGTGGTAACGGGACCCTCCGATCACGGCACAGCTCTCTCCAGTGGCGTTTGGCGGGTGGGAGTGCCTCCGGGTGGGAGGAGGAGCGCCCATATTCACGCCGCATGGGTATTCCCCTCCACCTTGTTTTGTGGTGATCGCTTATGGATGTCCTGTATCTATGATGATGAGGATGTATCGCCTGCGGGCAGGGCGTTGTGTCTTCATGTCTGCTGGAGTAGGAGGAGCAAACGCTTTCCTGGTTATCTCTGCACCATGCAACCCATCTTTGTTTCTCCATCAGGAAAATCTGCTTTATAATATATTTATTTATTCGGTCCCTGCCTGTGCAGCACTTGGGTTGTTCCCCTGCTAAAGGTGTGAAACTAGGGCACAGAAAAACCCCAGCTAGGGCTCCCAGGGGGGCTAAAATGACCAATATCAACCGGACTCAGGCATCTTAAAAGGAATTTGCCTTCCAGATGTCAACCAGTGGAGGAGCTGCTTTGTCCTGTGTGGCTCAGGCTGCGCTGGGTCGGGCCCTGGGACGTGCCGCTGAACACACTTTGCTGCCATGAGCAAAGTCAGGTGGCACCAAATTTGATACTCAGGAGACAGGTGACATCTGGTCGGTGGTCTACATCATGTAGTGAAGGTCCAGCAACAGTTACTTTGGTCCCATCATCTCTTTTGGTAAAGCCAGCCTGTAGCAACCTCATTCAATAAGTTAATTAAATGAAGAGAATGACTTATAAGCAGATTTAAAGGTGCTTTAGTTAAAAAGCATATGCTGCAAGATGGCTTGGTTGCACAACAGGCTAAAAGGCTTTTTTTTTTTAGCTGAAAAATTCATTCCCTTTGTTTAGGGAATGAATAAAATTAATATTTTGACTTGGTTTAATGCTGTTCATTAATAAAACCTGAAATTCAGTCATTAGAAGCACCTATTTCTAATCCCTTTTTTTCCTTTCCTCCTAGGATGTTTGACGAGAGAATTTTTACAGGTACGTTCTTCATGTCCTTTGATTTATTGCCCACAAAATTGAAAGATTATCCAGAGAAGCAGAGTTGAAATAATGTCACCTGTAAGCAGCAAAAGTGCAGGACACGTGCGATTAAGCTCAGGGGGTGCCCTGCACCCCGGCATGCTGAGATTGCCTTTGCCTGGCATCAGTGCAAGCATTGTGCACCCCTGAAATGGTGTTCTGAAGGCTGAGGTCAGAATTCCGTGGTGTGTGAGGCTGGGCTGGCTCCATGCGCCGGGCTGAGCTGCAGCTCCAGGCAGCACACAGCGTGTTTCTGTGCTTTCAGGAGGAAGAAAAATCACTGCTGGGTTCCTCACCGGTAAATTATTCTCTTTTTTTGCCTGGGAAGTGGTTGTATCATCCAGTCGCTGAGTGGTTTTAAAACAACCAAAATCAATTTTTTCAGTGACAAAACCCTGGAGAGGGGTTTTCTGAAGCTTTTTTTGCCCCACTTTTTTACTCCTTTTGGTCTGAGCTGGAGAAGCCAGACTAAGTGCTGCTTGGCAAATAAAAGGAGACGGGCACTGGTGTGGTCCGATCCGACCCTCGCTCCAGCAGCTGCCCCCGTCCCACCACCCTGATACTCGCCTGAAATACGGCACCCGAATTTGTCACCTCCCAGCCCTGCTCCTGGATCGCCTGGGCTCGGCTCACAAGTAAGGACACGTTTTGGGGTTGTTTTTTTTCCCCAAGCTGCCAACCCCGCACGCTGGCGTCTTTCCAGACACCGGCTTCTCCTCTAACATCTCCGCCGGCCAAATTAACCCCTGTGACCCCACAACAGCCACGGCCCCAAGGGTGCTGCCAGGGACAGTGACGCTGGAGCCACCCAAAGGGGACCTCCAGCAGAGCCTGGAGGTGGTCCCACCTCCATAGGGGCATTTCTCTGTCTCCAGTCCCATTACTGAATTTTTTTCTCAAGAAAAGGATTTTTTTTAAGCTCTCACCCGCCCCCAAGGGATGGAGCACTGAACTGTGTCTTGGCCTGGTTGGATTTTCCTTGCAAATCCATCGTGGTTGTGCGGTGTCTGGAGGGAGGCATTGCATACGTCTGTCCATCAACTCAGGAGCTGCTGGTGGAAAGCACCGTGCGACGAGCTCGGGGGTTACATGGCAGGGTGCTGCGGCTGGGAATTCGGAGGCGAGGAAGCAAACCCAGCAGGACTGGGTGGATTGCAGTTCCCCCTCCCCTGCCTGGACCCTGCAGGGCTACCAGAAGCAAAACACATTAAACCTGGCTTTTTCTGATTCACGTCAGCACATCTGACTGTGCAAAAAAAAAAAAAAGCATCTGCTGAGTCAGGAGGTGCCATTTTTGCAAAGACACTATTTTCCGAGCGGAGCTGTATTTTAAATTGCCGACTGCGAGGTATCCCAAAGCTTCCCCACACAGTTTTGCTCACCCTTTAATTAAAATACCCACCACTGCTGGGAAACCTATTTTTGCTACTCCCCTGGGTAGCAGCTTCAGGCAGGCTTCGCTGCTGCAAGAAGAAGATTTGGTCCACAGAAAGCACAAATTAAAAGGAGCCTTTTGGGCTGTCAGTGGATAAATAGTGTCTTTAAGGTTCTATATTGCTGCTGGTCCCGTTGCCAGAGCCCTGCCCTGCCTGGCAGGCTGGAGCCGCAAGGAAAAAGGCATCGTGTTCCCACGGACAGGATGTGTTTTGGGAGGGTGGGGATGTCGCGATGGCACTTTGAGACCAGCAAAGGGCCTTTGGCAGCAGCCATTTAACAAAACACCTACATGGTTTCTGCAGCCTTGCAGTGTAATTTCATTCCCTCCTTCCCCCAGCGCTAATCCTTCAGCTCTTCACTCACCTTCCCTGCCCAGTTTTCATTTCCTACTCTGCCTTCAGATCACTCTTTTCATCTCCAAGGTCATTGTTGAGGCTTCATTTCAGCTCCTTTGAGGTTGCTGAGGAACCGGGAAGGGAGAGAAGAGGTTTTTCTTGGTGACAGGACGCTTTTGTCCCCCTCTGTGTCGCTGCAGCAGAGATTTCTCCTGCTGCATGCAGGGCTCGGAGCTGCAGGACGTGGCTCCCTGTGGCACTGCTGCTCTGGGCTTTGCCGAGCTCCCGTCCCCTCCCTTGGAACAGGGCTCTCCCCGCTCCGGGGCTTGCCTGGTCCACGGCCCCGGCCGTGCCTGTGTTTCCTGACCCTGGTCCCCACCTCTCGGCACCCTGTCCCCCCAGCCAGCCCTTGCTGGAGATGCTCCATCCCTGGCAGGGCTGCTCAGCACACACTTAGTTACGCAGGGGTTTAAGCAAAAGGTTTTGCTATTATTTTAATGTGTAAACCTGATTAAATCTGTAGCCTTTTATTTGCAAGGAGGTGATGCTTGATAACCTGTCCCTAACCCCGACCTCAGCTCTGGGACTGGAGGGGGGGAAAAACGGAGGGGGAAAAGCTGCATCACTGGAAGCTCTAGTGGCTAATTCTGATTTTACTTTTCCTTCCAAACCCACCCCGTGCACCCCACACCAGGAAGCAAATTTACCAAAGATCCAACCAAGCTGGAGCCCTGCAGCCCCCCCGGGGAGATCTCCCCCGAGCCGCACCGCGGGGCCGTGCTGGACC